GCTCCCTGCCTGCCTCTCCCTCTGTTCCCGCCAATAAAAGGTAATTAACAAGGTCTCAAACAGCTCCTCGTATTTCTTGCCATTTCGTGATATGCAAAATCTGCTGCCTGAGATCGCCACCCCACTCTGCCTCATCGCATGGCCTGCCTTCAGGATGAGGGCTGTGTCCTCAGGACTGTGTATTCATCATCTTGACCCCGTGGGCTGTTGACTGACTCCCTCTGTTCCCGCCAATAAAAGGTAATTAACAAGGTCTCAAACAGCTCCTCGTATTTCTTGCCATTTCGTGATATGCAAAATCTGCTGCCTGAGATCGCCACCCCACTCTGCCTCATCGCATGGCCTGCCTTCAGGATGAGGGCTGTGTCCTCAGGACTGTGTATTCATCATCTTGACCCCGTGGGCTGTTGACTGAAAAGATGAGAAGGCGGGGGCCTCCACCACCACTCTGACCCACACACAGGATCAAGGCAGCAAAGTTATTATTTCAGCACCAGCATCAGAAACTCCTCCAACTTCCTCTCTTTTGATCCCTGCCTGTTTAAACAATAACAATCACAAATACCATATTTTCCATGTATAAGACGCCCCCCCCACTTTTCTAATCCAAAATTAAGAAATCTAAGTGGGGCTTAGGAAGTGTAGGGGGAAAGGGATCAAAGCGCTGCAGGATCGCTTTGATCCCTGCTTTCCCCTCCACTTGTTTTTGTCTTCTCCTCAGCTTACTTCCGTGTATAGGACGACCTTCAATTTTTAGTCTAAAGATTTCAGACAAAAGTATAGTTTTATACACTGAAAAATAGGTAAACTGACCACTTGCTGCTCTCTCATAACGTCCAACATGCGCTGCCTGCTTCAGTATGCCTAATGGTAGAACTGGTTCCGCCCAGCACGGAGATCTTAGAAAACACGTTGGTTCTCCCCGTGAACCACCGTTTCCAGAAGCGCAATTATGTTTTGAAAAACACAAATTATATCACCAGAATACGCCCGCAGGTGCCACACAAGGGGGTCAGGGAGAAGGGAGAACAGATTTTCTCTTCCCCTTCTCCCGGGGTCTCCCCGTCCGTCTTTCCCTCCCACACCCGCTTTTTCCAGGACCGCCGGCCTCCAGCCCATGCTGGACGCCTGCCAGAACAACAGACACGGTCATAAACAGATAAGTAATAGCTGAATAAATGGTGTGTAGCTGGGAACCAGATTGCCTATGACCTGCGAGGCGTTTGTTTCCTCTGCCTGGGCCGATTATTACGACCACTTTGGCTAAAGAACATCCTTCACCCTGCCCAAGGTGCTCTACTACGGGGCAGAAAAGGAGGGGCATTCCCTGCTTACAATCCACACAAGCAGAACAGGGAAAGAGTTATCTGGATTTATCATTCTTATTATTCCAACTCCTGGAATGCAGCAAAAAATAAATAAATTTTCTCCCTGCAAATTATACAGCTAGGTTTTTTTAAAAAATGTAGGAGTCAGGAAAAGGGACACTAGCTGGATTGATTCTGGGGATTGTTATGGAAAAAACAAACTTTCCAAAATCCTGCCGTGGCCTTCCAGACAACAGATGTACTGCAGCTCCTATCATCCCAGGCCCCCATAGCCAATGCCGGGGGAGGATGGGAGCTGAAGTCCAACAGTGTTTGGAAAGCACCCTTGCCCATCCCTGACCTGCTTTATCATACCCACCCTCACGGCACCCTGATGCAGCAGACCAAACTCACTCTCCCCTTATCACGCAGGGGAATGAGCTCGGGTTCCTCTGCCCGGATGGATCATCCGGATCCTGTCTACGCCAGAGGATTCTGCTTGCAGCCCACATGACAGAGCTAAACAAGGAAAGAACTGGGGAACCAACCCCGGAGCGGATTCAGCCGGAAGCGGAGAAGACCGAGAGGTGACAGAACTGTTAAACAGCCGAAGGGCCGTCATATGGACGACGGAGCAAGCAGGCTTCCCAAGGACAAGACCTGAACCGACGGACTGAAATTAAAAGGAAGGATATTTCGGGGCAAGAATCGGGAAGAGGCTTCTCACAGCAAGAACGGTTCTACAGCCGAGCAGGAGACAATGGGTTCGGAAGGCGATGGATTCCCTTCCATGGAAGCTTCAAAAACAGAAGCCAGAGGGCCAGCTGCCATCGATGATCAAGCGCTTAGTTTTCCTGCACCATCAAAGAGCTGGCCTAAACCAGTGGTTTTTTCAACTAACGGGTACGCCGGTCACCAGTGATATGGAGAAATTATCTGGGCAATAATAACAATCGAATGCCACTGAGTCAAATTCCAACCGAGGGTCGTCCCCTTCCAGGTTTCCCCCGGAATAAAGCACAACCTTCTTCTGCTGGTGGGACTGTGCAGCTGGCCCAAGGCCACCCGGGCTGGCTCTTCTCCTGGGACACACAGTGGGAATTATACTCTCGTCTCCTGGCTCGAAAGCCAAGTGCTCCATCTCACTGAGCTCTCCAGCCAGCTGTTCTCTCAGTAGGATGCTGCTTATTACAATTACTAATGGTAATTGTAGGGTTCTCATTACGGTTACTAAGAATTCAGTCCCCCTCTGTTCCCGTCTCCTCCTCCAAGCAGACTAAGCAAATTGTTACCCATTCTATTAATGGAATTATCATTTATGTTTCTTCGGGTATGCATCTAAAAATGTTACTGTATTTTCTATATGCTTTAAGCATACAACTATAAATGACAAATAGTCTCTCTCTACGTATCTATCTATCTGCCTGGATGTCTATCTATTTAGTTAGCTATCCTGCTTTTCTCCCAGTGGAGGACTCGAGGTGGCTCACATTAAAACACACAGCTTTAAAAGGCCTACGAGTAAAAAACATAATTAAATGTATTATCAATTAAAAACGAGCCCTAGATTAAAACCACCAAAAAACCCATCTAAAAGCACAAGAAGAGGAATAAAGAGGAAAAATGCACAGCAGCCACTGTTAAAAGAGCCTTCCTCAAAAGCCAAGCGCGTAGCTAAAAGGCCTGTCTAAATATAATTGCAGGATGCCTGTAAACACATAAATATCCTTCTAGGAAACCGTGGCCTTCTCGTTTCTCTTCTGGCGGGACCCATCATGATCCGTATGACACGGAAAGTCAAGGTCCACGAGACTAGACTACTTTTTGGGGGGGGGGATCCTCCCAGCTCAGCAATTCTGCATTATTTTTACGAATTCTGGGAGAATAATAGAAATGCAGGAGATTTGAATGGGACATCTCAGCTCACAGTCCCAGATCCTCCCCGCAACCCTGGAGGAGCTCCGGGGGGGGGGGGGGCGGGGGTGTTCAAGGGACGCTCAGCCTCTTACCTTCGCTGCAAAACTTCCCCTGAAAGCCGGTGAGGCTGCAGTCGCACTGCACCTCGCTGTTCACCACGGTGCAGATTCCGCCGTTGACGCAAGGGTTCTGCTTGGCGCACAGGTACTCCATGTCGCTGCGGATGCCCTGGCTGCCCAAGAGGGCGGGGGGCATGTCGCCCACCTTGAGATTGGCCACCATCCCCCGGAAGGGCATCTCATACTTGACGGTGCTGAGGGTGAGGGCCGAGAGGCGGACGTCCGGCGGGATGCCCCCCACGAAGAGGTCGCTCTCCACCGTCATGTCGCGGCGCTTGGACTTGACCTCGGCCACCCGGGCTTCGCCGTCCACCACCAACATCGTCTCCCGGTAGTTGCGCGTCAAGAGCACCATGTGCCAGCGGTCGTCGTTGACGGGCGTCTCCAGGTGGAGGCTGGCCGGCTCGGCGCACGAGATGGTGAAGCGCAACCGCAGACGGCCTTCCAGGATCAGGAGCTCCAGAAAGTCGCAGTTCCCCCCGTCGTCCAGGTACAGCACCAGCGCCCGCGAGATGTTGGTCTTGAGGCTGAAGCTCAGCTCCCCGGAGGAACTGGCGTCCCAGCGGCCGTAGCGCGCCCACTGGCCGGTGGTGCCGCTGAACTCCAAGGCGGCGCCCCCGGCTCCCGGGCTGAGCGTGGAGGCCACCAGCAAGGCCAAGGGGAGCAGCAAATGCACCGCCGGCTTCCTCGCCATGGCAGGGGGGGCCCCTCTCTCTCTTTACCTGGAGGCTAACAGCGCCCCACCCCTTTGGCACACCCTCAAATCCACATCAGACAGGAGGGCACTCCTATGGAGGGGGCACGGAGGGGGTTGCTGGTCCTCACGTCAATCCAGAAGGTGCCAAGAGGACTTCCTCCAAAAGCCAAAGGCACCCAAGATCGCCCGGGGAGGTGGGGAGGGGGATCTCGGCTGGAAGGCGCAGCGATCAAGCGGTCCCAAGACTCCTTCAGGGCCCCACGTCCCCCTCCCCAAGAGGCCCAGGTGACCGGCTGCTCAGTGGCTCGCTACAGCATCTTCCTCTGCTGCACGTCAGGCTGGACCGCTGGCTCCGGCCAAGGCGCCAAGGTGCGTCTTCCTCGGCTTCTGAGCTCAGTCTGGAATGTGCATCCTCGAAGGTCTCAGGCCTGGAAGGAAGGTGGGAAAGGGGAGAAAGGAAGAGAGCAGAAGAGAGAGAAGGAAATAAGCAGCGGGAGACTCTTTGGATCCCCCCCACCCCACCCGAAACCCAAACACACGACAACATCCATTTGTAAAAAGGGTTGTGTCACTCCTGGATCAGCAGGCGACACCCCGCCGATCAGCTTCGACACCCTAACATCACAACCTAGAAGACAGGGCCGTCCCTTGTCTCCCTGCCTGGCCTCCCTCGGAAGACCGTTGTGCGAGAAGGCTGACACCGGGAAAGAGAAGAGAGCCGTTCCTCTAACCGTAGCTGAAGTGGGGAAGAGCAGCATCACATAAATAAAAAGACAAATGCAGGCTGGCGTCCTCTCCCCAGCTCCTTGGCCCTGATTTTTTCCCCTCTTGCCATTTCTCATGCAAAGGAAGGTAGGAACCATTGCACCTCCTTCCCAGCCTGCGCCCCCCCCCCACGAGCTGGATCAGGACCTTCCCACGTGTCACTCAGAGTGCTAATGCAATGCAAATTTCATTCCCGTCAAATTGCCTTTTTGGAATGATTACCCTTGTAACTGACTGTCAGAGAAGCAATTTATTCTCTCCCCCCCCTTTTTTTCTTCCCTCCCCAGCGCCTACCGCTCAGGAAGGAGGGTGCATTTGCATCTTGTTACTGCAGAAGAGCCTGGTTATTTATAGCATGGGAGGGGGTGTACAAAAGGGACCGGGTTGGGGAGGGGGGACACAGACAGAGACAAAACGGAGGGGAAGCAAGCTCCTCCATCTATCCTGCCAACCGAAGTCAGCCCTCGATCTAAAGGAAAGGGCTGAACAGAGTCGGCAGCCAACAGAGCTGGGTCAGGGTTGCCCCCACATCCATCATTTTAATCTCATGTGTCAAGATTGTTATATTAAGCTACGGGAAGCTTTGGCCCTCCCATGCTCTTGACTACAGCTCCCATAATCCCCGGCTGTTAATCACACTGGATGCCTCTGGGAAAGCCGGTTACTCCCATCCCTGGTTGGAAGGACTGCCTAAACCAAAACACAGTTATGTGGCCCATGAGCACAATCCAAAACCATGGGTGCATATGGTGGGGAACATGGAAGAGGGCCTTCTCTGTGGCTTCTCCCAGACTCTGGAACTCCCTCCCACTGGAGGCCGGACTGGCCCAATCTTCGCTCTCCTTCCGCAAGGTGGCAAAGGCCTTTCTCATCAGGCAAGCTTTCCTTGAGTGACCAGTTGCCCAAGTGGGTTTTTGTAAAATACATTGTACTATTTTACTGCTTTGAATTGTGTTTTGATGTTGCCTAAGTTTTTGTATGGTATTTGGTTGATCTTTTTTAGTATTTGTATACTGTTGTTAACTTTAATATTGTCTTTTAATGGTGTAAGCCGCCTTGGGTCCTTTTAAGGAGATGGATGGATGGAAAGAGAGAGAGATAGATGGATGGATGGATGGATGGCTGGATGGATGGATGGATGGATAGAGAGAGAGATGGATGGATGGATGGATGGCTGGATGGATGGATGGATGGATAGAGAGAGAGATGGATGGATGGATGGATGGCTGGATGGATGGATGGATGGATAGAGAGAGAGATGGATGGATGGATGGATGGCTGGATGGATGGATGGATGGATAGAGAGAGAGATGGATGGATGGATGGATGGCTGGATGGATGGATGGATGGATAGAGAGAGAGATGGATGGATGGATGGATGGCTGGATGGATGGATGGATGGATAGAGAGAGAGATGGATGGATGGATGGATGGCTGGATGGATGGATGGATGGATAGAGAGAGAGATGGATGGATGGATGGATGGCTGGATGGATGGATGGATGGATAGAGAGAGAGATGGATGGATGGATGGATGGATGGATGGATGGATGGAAAGAGAGAGAGATGGATGGATGGATCTTTAGACTGATCATTGCAGAAACTGGGATGTGGGAGTGCAAAAAATTCCCATCCAGCAGAAAATGGCTAAATGCTGAAGCTACAGGACCGTTAAAGTAACTGTGGCAATCTAGAATGAAAGCAATGGGAAGCTCCTGTCTCCTCTTAGCAATTTAACAGTAGATCTTGAGGTCTGGGGCTTTTCTTGGTACCCTCCTGCACAAGCTTTGGGATGCCCAACTGGAGGAAGAATCCTGGAAGATTCTGAAGACCACTTTTTAAATATTTTTGTGGTCTGTTTGTGGACCATAAAGAGAATGTCCAAATAATCGTTTTTAGCCAAGCACAATAAAAAGTAGCCGATTCACAGTATTTACTATTACAAAAGTCGGTGTATTTCTGCTAAATTTCTCTTTCTAACTAGCGCAGCCTCGGAGAAGAGAAGCAAATTGAGCTATTACCTTCCTGCTGCCCCAGGGATGGAGCAGATGTCAAGGGGAGGGGCTCCCAATCCAGAAAGAGTAGACGTCAGGACATCAGAAAGGCCCCCTCCCCACATGCAGAGTCGAGTTCGGATGCCAGCTTAAACAAGCCTCCCCCCTTTGGATACTGGGGAGGGTTGGATCTCCATAGCAACGGCAGTGATACGGCATCATGCAAATGAGCCGCGCGGCGGGGCTATTTATAAATTCTCCCTCGTCTGCTGCACCTCATTGGGTAATGGGCATAATTAACATTCGGCTTCTAATTAGCCAATCAAATTAAATTCCGCACCTGCAATGGGTGCTTGATTGAAGCTAGCTGTAGCCTTGCTCCCTTCCTTCTCCCCCCTCCCCCTTGCCACTCACTCCCACATCTCTGAAGGGCTGCAGAGGATCCGAAGCTAAAGAGGATCGCCATAAAAACATCTTCTCCTCCTCTCTAACCGTCCTCCCCACCCCGTCCTGAAACGTTGCTAAGTTCAATCACTTTACGCTGCAAAAAAGGTTAAGTGCAGAGCTTCGCAAGGGCAAAGATGACGGGTTCCTTCAAGCCGGGAGCAGAGAAGGCAGCGCCAGAGTTGGAAGGCAGAGCTGTCTGCATGGATCCCCATCTTCTAAAGCAGTGGTCCTTAACCTTGGGTCCTCCAGATGTTCTTGGACTTCATCTCCCAGAAATCCTGGCCAGTAGAGGTGGTGGTGAAGGCTTCTGGGAGTTGTAGTCCAAGAACATCTGGAGGCCCAAGGTTTGGGGACCACTGCTCTGAAGGAGACCCCTGGAGAGGAGACTCCAGCCCGGTGCCAGGGATGAAAGATGATGCCCCCGCCAATCCAGGCAGCTTCTATGTAGAGTAGTGGTCCCCAACCTTGGGGCCTTCAGATGTTCTTGGACTTCATCTCCCAGAAATCCTGGCCAGTAGAGGTGATGGTGAAGGCTTCTGGGAGTTGTAGTCCAAGAACATCTGAAGGCCCAAGGTTGAGGACCACTGATGTAGAGAACAGAGAGCATTTCTATTGTGGCCATTGGCTCAGGCAGCAAAATATCTTGGGATGGCCCCCTGAAAGACACCTGAGAGGGGTGGGGCAGGTTTTCAGGGCAGCTGATCCTGCTCCTTTCGCCCTCCACCTTCACCCCAAACAAGAGGCGGATTTCTATCGGTTTCAGCATCATGGTCCGTGCAGCGATCAGACTCCCTTCCCCTCCGAACGCCTCCCTCCCAAGTTACCGGACCCACCACTCTTATTGTCTGTGCTAAGGATGTAATGAATACTCCCATATTTTCTCATCCGTGATTTAACAGCAACAACAAAAAGAATGCCGCAATGCATGACCCTGTCAAAAAAATGGTCAACTGCTGTGAGATTTTTTTCGTTGTTGTTCCTGCACGAGAGTGAAAAGATCAGAGGTTTTTCTTTTGTCAGCCTCAGCAAAGAAACGGTGGGTTTCTTTGTATTTTGAATCGTACTTTGCATCGAAGCGCTTGCATTTTGCACAGGACTTCCCCCCCCACCGCTCCAAAAGATAAGGTTGCATGAAAACTACTTCTGCAGCTATTTTTTGCAAAAAGAGAGAGAGAGAGGGAGAGGGAGAAAATCCACAAATTCTTTTGTGTTTGCCACACCCCACAGGGAAACGTCTTTGGTTGGTGTTCCGTCCCGTAAAAATGAAGCACGTGAAGATTTACATCCCTAAGTCTTCATCTCCAGCAGGTCCCACGGCCATGCTGGCTGCAGACACTGAGAATTGGAACGCAACACAAGGGTGGACCAAAACATAAAAGGAGAGCAATCTCTTCACTGAAAAGAAGACAACATGGGAAAGCTCAGCCTATGAAAGGGAGAAGCATACAATCAATCATGGAGTTGGAAGGGGCCTATAAGGCCATCAAGTCTGACCCCCTGCTTAGGGCAGGAATCCAAATCACAGAGGGATGTCTATTTTTCTCTTGAATGCCTCCAGCAATGGAACACTCCCCAAATCCCGAGATCATGGGTTCCCTTGTCGTGCTGCTCTAACAGTTAATAAGTTTTTTCCCTGATATTCAACTGACATCGGGCTTCCTGTACCTTGAGCCCATTATGACGTGTCCTTCACTCTGGGATGATTGAGAGCAGATCCTGCCCCTCCTCTGGATGACAGCCTTTCAAGTCTTTCAAAAGTGCCATCCTATCTCCCCTCTGTCTTCTCTTCTCAAGGCTAAACATGCCCAGTTCCTTCAGTCTTTTTTCACAGAGCTTGGTTTCCAGCCCCCTGATCCTCCTTGTTGTCCTTCTCTGAACTTGTTCGTTTGTTGGCATCCTTCTTCAAGTGCGGTGTCCAGAAGTGGACACAACACTCTAGAGGAGGCTTAACCGGTGCTGAACAGGGGACTAGTACATCACACGATTTAGGGACTATACTTCTGTTAATGCATCCTAAAATCACATTTGCCTTTTTTGCAGCAGCATCGCATGGTTGGCTCATATTCAGCTTTTGATCTACGACAATTCCAAGATCCTTGTCACTATCGCAAAAACCTGTCGTTATGCGGATTTGTCATTAAACAAGGCACTCGTTAAGCGAGGCACCACTGTACGTCTGTTAATGCATCCTAAAATCACATTTGCCTTTTTTGC